TAATTATAAAGCAATATGTTTTTATTCCAAGACCCTGCCCTAATTGGTTTGCAGCCAAGAACCATGTAAGTTTAGGTAAAGGGTATATAAAAACCAAAGTCTATGCTAAGTAGTTTAACTGAAGGGATTACAGTAGTGAAAGGCTCTTAGAAAATTTTCTAGCTAGTAGAATCTTGGCATTTTGCCTTAAGCAGCCCATTTCAAGAAACATTTGATTCTAAAAATTAAGTTGATGCTTTGCATTTTACAGCATATTACTGAAATAATTTTTGTGGGAAATTGAAGGGTTCCTGTGATCATACCAGATCTAATAACTAATGCAGCTATTGTGATTATAAAGTATATGACCTAAAGCTGTTATTACTTGTCCATCTTGCAGAATTTGTGTTTCTGTGTTCCTCTTTTATTCCATCCTGTAAGTGCTAACACTATTTTCTATTTTAGTTTTAACTAATATTTTAGGGTTTTTTATATTAAGCTATACAGTCTCTTTGGCCATGTTAAGAAAGTTGGCAGAGTGTTAAAATTCCAAAAATATGAGACAAGATTCAGACAGTCAATCCAACTGTATTTCTGTAATAAGCAGTAACCTTGCAGAAACCCATCTGAAACTCGAAATGCAGCCTTCCTGGAGTATTCTGCATAGCAAAACAAAGTAAATCTGACGGCAGAATCAGGATTAAGACACAGTTTTGCCCTCTAACCATAAAAGCAATCTCTCTGCACCATAAACCACCAATTTCTTCTGCTATGCTAACAAAGAAAATAAAGATGCTGCCATGGATAGGTGACAAACTTTCAGTCTAAATGGTTGTAACCCCTTTTCTCGCCTCTGTTCAAATACTAATAAACGGAAAATAGAAAACAGAGCTGTCCCCAAAGAGAATGTAACCGTGTAGCTTCCAGTCAAACAGAACAGCAGCCCAGCAGTCTCTAAAACTGCCAAAACAAATGAGCCATAGCATCCTGTTGTTTTGAAGATGTTTATTGATATAAGCACGTAATAACAAATTATTAAAATCTTCCCAAGTGTGGATAACTTGCTTCTATTTTAGCATAACATAAAGAGTAGCACAAATCCCAAGGAATCATCCCAGCTAGGATTTCCAGAATAAAACGAAGTCATATCTCCTGTAGAGGGTTTTATAATGATGTGTGGTTTACATACATCATTTGACCTACACTCGGCCAAAAAACCCATCTGTATAGGTGAGCCTTCAGAATCTTTACTCTAGGCTCTTTCAGATTCTGGTGTCCCTGCTGGAGCTGTGAGTGCTGCAGGGTTTCCAAGAAATAACAAAAGCTGAAATTCTGCAGAGTATTTAGCACCTTGATGCAGATGACACTGCTCTGTATCACCTTATGTGTTCTGTGAAGGAGTTTGCTTGAAATAAAAGGAGTATAATGCAAATAAGTCCACTTTGCTGCACTCCATCCCAATGTCTAATGCTAGCAAAGGCCAATAGCATTAAATGGAAATAATTAGTGTTGATATTTAAGAGGTTCTTACTCTTCTGTCCTCCTGTCCTAGTGAAAGGATGAGCTTGGGCTTCTCCAAGTTTTTGTAGATCAACTGCAACCCTTACTTGTGATACAGTCCCTGTGATCCAATGAAAGCATACAGTGCAGAGTGGTGTTGTGTTGCAACTCACTGTTGTAAGTTACTTCTGTCACAGCATATGTGATCATTTGATTGCATTTCACATAGGCCTGGATGGAGGAGGTGATTCCAAAAGTGATTTTGTTCATTCACAGGGTAAAGCCAGCACAAAATCACCCACAGAATCGATCTGTGCAACCAGCTCTCCAGTTATTGCCAATGTTAGGTAGAGGCCTGTACCGTAAGTAGTTGAAGATTAAAGCAAGCAAACATGCATAGCATATCCAACACAACTGTTACATCACATAGTTTTTTAGAAAGCTGCAAAGGATAAATTAAATTCCTCCTGCTGGAAAGGCATCCTGAGACAACCCAAAGAATGCATCAAGATAATGACTGGTAAACAAGAGAAATACTGGAGGCAAATAGATCTCAGTTGAAGCACTGGCAAGTAACCTGGCATGAAGAACTGAAATTTTAATTGGCTATTCCAGCCATCAGCCAACTTTGAGATCCATAATTTGCTATTGGTGGTAGGGAAACAGCAGCAGCAGCACTGCCTCCAGCTGCTGAAACTTGTCAAGACACCAGTAACCCTTCAGCAGCATGATGCTAAAAGTTAGTCACGGATAACTACTTTTTCAGCAGGCCAGGGCCAACTTGTCATCAGCTGCTAAAATTCAAGGTGCTCTTTTCTTGCTGTCAGCCATTATTTTACGTGTCCTTTTCTTTCCCCTAACTTACTTCTTTTCTGTTTAGTAATTATAGCTTAGCAGAGTAAAATCTAATAATTTAACAACACTCAGTGAGCCTAATACTGAGGAAGAAGCCAAAAACAGAAAAGCCTTATAGTGATAGAAGTTTGCTAGGTATCGAGTTGACTGATAAAGTTATGCCTCACTTGAGCGTCAAGTTTACAAGGAGACTAGAAACTGCTTTTTCTCTCTGTGTAGTTGTTTCTCTCATTGACTACATTTTTGCTTTCTTCTGTCCAAAGAAAGCAGGTCTGGACTACTAACAACAAAACACCAAGCGCCAAAACAACTCGTTCAAGTAGCATGCTCTTTTTCCTCCAAAAGTACAGTATCTTCTTTAATCACATCTAAAAGGCTGTAATTTCTGGGGGGAAAAAAAAAAAAAAAAAAAAAAACAAAAAACAAAACAAAAAACACCAAACCAAAAAAACCCTTTGAAAACTTTATGTTGGTTTGTGGAAGAGTTCATAAAATGAGGCTTCTATATGCAAAACTGTAAATACTGTGTAACCATTGAATATCATCCTTGTACAACCTTCAGATGCATTTGCTCCTGAGTGCCTTTACCTTCCTCACCCTTTGCCCACTGCACATCACACACAAAATCCTCTCTCCTTTCCCTGTCGGTACTCCCTACCACAGATTGTGGTATAAGGGGAAAAAGAGTTACCGGTTCTATTGGAAAGTATTGTACAAGTCAGAATGAATTAAAGTCTTGGTTGGCATATTATTTGCCCTGAGCCTTCCTTTTCGAGAAGGAGGAATTTCATTATTAATATTTTGAATTGCAGTTCACCATGAAGTAACATTTAGAATGTACACTTAAAAGCTTCAGAAAATGTGAATTTGGCACTAAAATTTGATACAATCCTGTAGCAAATACTTTAAGCATTTTTTGGTTGTTACAGAGCAGATTTGGGGTTTTTTTTACATCAGCTAGTATCAGTAAATTAGATAACTGGGTTCTATTTTTCAAGTCTTAAACTTTTCTTTTTCTTTAGTTCATCTTGGTCTTGGATTACCTACCATCCCACACTGTGATAGCCTTTGCCAGCTTTATAGCAAGAGAATCCACAGATTCTTGATACCATCAGGCTCTCTGAAAAGGTCTTTACTCTCAGTTGTAAATAAACATTTCTTAATTTCAAGAGGGCTTTTTTAAATGCAGCAAGAATCTAATATGGCTACTGCCTGTTTCATTAAATAGTGTAGAAAATTGGAAGGGCAGGTATAATTTCTTGTTTTCTAAATATTTGACAAGTATTTTTATGTATAGCAGGAAAATTATATTTTCTAATTATGAAAGCTAACTATAGTTCAACTATGTAGCATTGTGTCTAAATCTGTACAGTTAGTTTTTAAGAAATATTTTATATTTGCTTGTAAAACCAGCTGACAATTTGCATATAATTTTCTTGTACAAACCAAGGCACTGAAATTTAAGAAGTTCTCTTTGCTGGGGTGGAGTGATGGTGGAATTACAGCACTCATCGCAGCTGCAAAGTATCCAGCTCTTATCCACAAGTTGGTTGTCTGGGGAGCAAATGCCAGCGTTACTCAAGAGGATGTGAGAATTTATAATGGTATGTACAAACTGAATATCGTATCCTAAAAAAATTATTTTCATTTCTTCTTGACCTAAGAATCGTGGTCATGTAACAGCTAAGTGGAGAGAGAGTTGAGGACACGACAAACCTAAAAGAACGGGACACAAAATTCACTAAGTTGCTAAGTATAGGGATAAAGTTATAGTGAGAAACTCACTAACAATTACTCTAGGGGTAATGTAACAGAATTTTTAACAAGTCCTTACCAACTTACGCTGCTGAAAAGCGTTAAGTTGTAATAGCTTATCAGTAGTTTTCAGAAATTCAAATTTTTGTTGCTGTAACAAATCCGACAAATAAATTCCAAATAATACTATTGACTCCAGGCTTGATTTCTTTTCTCACGTCTTACACAACATTTAAACAAAGTCCACAGAAAATCACTGGGCTAGCATATAACAACTTTTGCCTCTAGGGCCTATATAATACATAGACAGTAGGGAAACCAGCTCATAACTTGCCATTTGAGTTCAGGAAGCAAATGAATCATCCAAGTAAGTGTCCCAGGATGCCTTTCTAGTTTGCATTCCTTTAAAGTTAATTATCATGGTTACAAAACCTTTGCAAAGTAAAGAAACATGGGATTTCTGATCCTTGTTCTACTCGTGTGAAATAGAATCTGATAACTTGTCACTGTAAAGGAAAAACAGCAAAAACTGCTAGTGAACTCAGAAAGGGACCATATTTCCTTTTGAAATTAGAAATTAAAAGAGGTAACCATGCAGGCTCTCAACAAATGTAACCCAGTATATTTTCATTTTAATGACTGGAGTTTGATTTATACCAGCTGTGAAATCTGTCTGGCTTCAGCTAAATTACAAGTATATGTATTGCACATGTGTACTTACCTCACCTATACTAAAGCACTTTCATTGGTAGTAGTAGTAGTATATTGTTTAGTGCAGTAAGCAGAATGCTTTTTAACTCTGTAAAAGTGCTGCTTTGTTTCTTTACATGCTTTTATATTTATGAAGGTTTTTATTATATAATTGTGAAATGCACATCAGTTAGTATCAGGCAACAGGCTAAAATATAAAACAAAAAAAAAAATTTAAAAGTCTTACTTTACATGGAGCACCCGCAGCAATGCTGACCTTTGGCCTCTTCGTGGACTGGTGCTTTCAGCATCTCGCCCTGGGTGATGGAGCTCAGCAAGTAGCCGTGCAAACCTTCTACAACTGGCCTGTCAGTGCATCTCCACTGCAGTGGAGGGTTTGGTAGGAGAGCAAGGTGTTTATTTGGTATCTATGTCCTTTCAACATTGGCTTTCCCTCTCTCCTCTTTTTAATTAAGGCCACCCACAAGGATAAAACAGTACATTCTGTAAGGGAAACAGCTGTTCAGGAGCAGCTAGCCTGGGGTGAGCAAACTAATTTCCAATCAGATGCTGTTATAAAATGCTTTCAGTCACTGCTACCTTGCTCATTTGGCTGCACAGGTTCTGTTTGTTAATTAACACCTCACTCCTTTCTTCCCTTAATTCCCATTTGAAACCAATTAAAAGCTTTGCTAATGGCATATATTGCTGTTTGATAATACAGTACTTTTCAGGTCTCTCTCAGGTTCTCTGCTATGCCAACATTGTTTTGGGCTTTATCGATACAAAGCTGTGCAGCTGAAACACAGTTTAGTGAAAGTCACCCTTGTGGAAATCTCGTTTGTGGGCAGTACTGAAGATTTTAGGGGGAAAAAAATAGGTAAATCTGATAAATAAATAACTAGAATGTCAGATTATTTGTACAGCTTTAGCCAGCCTGCCATGAGTCACAGGACTCTACTAAGTAGACTTTCTTGTTTTTCTGTAAGACTATGGCAAATATACCCTGATGTCAGCCTGCTGGAATGCCTTAGTAAGAGCTTCCTTCCTCTGAGTACTAGTAGAAGCCATGGAAGAACTTCCATCCATGAGCCAAAGCAAAAGGCTGAAGGATATAAAACAGAATTGCCAGCCCTGGTACACTGTTGCAACAGTCCCCTTTTTATAGGCAAGGTACCTCCTTGAGCTCTTCTTCTGCAAGCCCTCCAAAAAGAAACATCAGAAGTTTTAGGACTCAGTCCTTTCATTCTTATTTCTTTTCTGTTGTTCCTTGTGACCGTAATGACAAGATGGTCTTCTGCAACTCGGAAAGACCGCAGCAGAGATCGTACAACTACCTTTTTTATACCCATTCCATAGTATGAATTATTTAAAACCATTCAGTGCAGTTTCAAGTTTGAAATACACATCTGCAGTCTGGTTTGAAAACTTACTCATATTAGGCGTTGACAGTACTGGGTTATACCTTGTTGCTGGAAAGGACTTAACATCTTTCAATGTTATTTTATGTAGGCATCCGAGATGTTTCAAAATGGAGTGAAAAGGTCAAGAAACCACTGGAAGATATGTATGGACATAAGTACTTTGCAAAAACTTGTGCCGCTTGGGTAGATGGAATATCTCGCTTTGCTGAGAAATCAGATGGTAAGGTTTTTACAGTGTTAAACGGAAGCAATTATAGTAGCAGACAGTTCTGGAGAAAAATCTAACAGTACTCCTAGCAGCCAGTAAAGGAAGGACTCTGCATAAGGCATTAAAAGCTGGGTCTGACTCACACTCATGAATAAAGCAATTACTTTGTAGATGGTTCACAGAACCAGCAAAGTACTGGAGGAAAACACATTTATGGGAAGCATTAGCTGATGAGTCCCTCCTCTTGTTCCACCACAAAACTACATTATTAAATCATGACTTTTGTGCAGACTGAACAGGAGGGATTCTGCTCAAGTTTTTTCAGCTCTCCTCTCTCAGTGTGGAAGGATTACCGCTTGGTGACATTGTTAAGATATCCCAAAAGTGAGGTGTTTTCATTCCAGTTTCTGCAAACAGGAGCTGAAGTACTATTTCAAACTTGGTAGCATATGAGTTAAAGAAGGAAGTTCAGGTTTTGAGGACTCAGAATTAACAAAACACATTTAAAAAACACTATGGACACAGCTTTGGTGTTTAAAAATCCAAAAAGAATACTTAAACTAGACAATATAATTATTAAATGTTAATCTCTGAAGATTTCTACAATTACTATACATAGACTTTTGCAGCCAATGTTACCATGAATAATAACCTGCAGTTCTGTTTTAATTCAGAGGAAAATCGCTTTTAATTTGCCTAAAGCAGAAATACATAAAACAAGGAGTCTGTTATTCTGTTATATGCATTTTCCTGTAGATCTCTTAATGGAAGACAGGAGGTTACATACATTAACAGGCAGCAGGTACTACAAGGAAAACATTCCTTCATTTCATATTTTTTCCATTAAGTTTTCCATGGGATCAGCAACATGGTACTAGAATTTTTCCCAGTGGAGTGATGTAACAAATTATGATCTGATTTTATTTTACCTTTTATCAAATATGTTTCTTTAAAACTAGTTTATTCTTAATGCCAAAGCCTAGGCTGGTGAAACTCTAGCGGTGACGTCCTTTTACTGCCTGCACACGCCTCAGACACTATGAGATGGGGTGGCTATGGAAAAAGAAGCCACTTGGAGACATGTAACAAGGAACTGAATTACCTAGATGCTGTAACTCGGTCAGATATTGGGAGAAGCGTAACGTTCGCTAAAAAAGATGAGGAACCATCATACTGCAGGTTTTTTCCAGGTGTAGCTTGGGGAAGGCAACTTAGACTACAAGCAGGCTTCCTTGGAATTAAAGTTACAATACGCTGCACAAAAGGTGCAGAGGTGGCAAACACAAGATAACAGGTTAATAAAACCCATCAGAGATTAAAGGAGGACAGCAAAGCCTTTGTGGTCAAAAACTCAACTAAAGCTCTTTTTAAGAAATAGACTGATTTGCCCTAAACGGGACAGCTTTTAGTGTGAAATGCCGTAAGAAATGAACTTTTAGATGGTGCCAGCACTTAATGAAACTAAGTTGCGTAAAGCTGCAAAATTCAAGATTCTCCTTGGCATTGTGTTTTTGGAGTAAATATAATCTAGTTGTTATAGTACAAAACAGTTTTAGGACTGGAAACTTGGAAATAATAGTTTGACTGCCAACTATGTCTTTAGGTAAATAACGTAAATTTACTTGTTACTTGTTCCGAAAAACAGTCGACATTTGTGCAGGTGTGCGAGGACTATGAGTGAAATGTTCTAAATGAAAGCATTTAAGCAGTAGAACTGCAAACTAAAACTATATAAATAACCAAACAATTGGAAAAACTCTGTGAGACAGTATATGACTTTAGACTAAGGGAAGTGTGCGTATATGAGCATTAAACATACAGCTGTTGGTAGCTGCAAGGGGGCAACTACAAATACAAAGTTAACTCAAAGATAAATGGAACATAAAACTCATCAAGTATGTTTTGCCCAAAGGTTCTCTTGCGAAAGCATGGGAAGTTAGGCAAAGAGTTTGGAAACTGGGTTACTAAGGGATGAGGGAAAAAGAAAGGGGGAAAAAATCAGAAGAGTCTTTAAGGAAAAGCATTACAATTACTTCTAGTGAGATTAAAGACTAGTAAGCATAAAATTATTCTTGAGGTTCATAAGATGAATGGGCAGGGAGAATAACCTTTGAATAGTTTTCGTACTATTTGTATTAAATGGTTATTCATTGCAGACAGCAAAGGGTCTGGAAGGTGGAACAAGTATGAGTAGAGAGTAAGTTAACTTGTTGATAAAAGTAGCAAATCTTGTAACCTGACAACTGATATAACGAAGGGTAGCATTAACATGAAGGCTGTAAGACTAGGGCTGAAAAGAACAATGCCAAGAAAGAAATGCATGTATTTGCTTTGAACAGTCAAAGCGAGCCTGGGGGAAATGTGGGACAGAAGTACTTCATTCTCTCTATCTGTTTGTGCTAGTATCCATTAGTGAAGCAAATTTCAGTGAAGTAACATTTTGGAGAAAGAAATGTTAATTATAGTCCTGATTACACAGTTCTGTAGATTAATTGCGTACTGTCCACAAGGAGAGGCAATAGCTAGAACCCAGTGGAGCTCACAGTCTTTTACAGAAGCAGTTTCAGTCTGTCATACTATTTTAAAACAAAGTGTGACCTTCATTTATTTTCTCCCTAGGTAACATCTGCCAGCAGTTGCTGCCAGATATTAAATGTCCCACATTTATAATTCATGGTGAGAAAGACCCTTTGGTTCCACAAGCTCACGCAGAATACATTCATAAGCACATCAAAGGCTCTCGGTAAGTTATGTGATGGAGTATATATAAACCATTGTTGAAGTAAAGCAGTTCAAACCCACAGTGTAAAAAAAGAAAAAAAAAATTATTTGGTCAAGTTGCCTCTGCCACAGAGCTATTCTATTCTTCCCTAGCAAGTTACAATGCAAACAGTGTAACTGGACCTTTCTTGCAATATAAAAAGTATAGTATTTTAATAAGCTCCTTCAAGAGACACCAAGGAAGATCCTTTTCCTCTTTTCACCTCACACACAGAACCACTCCCTAATATTTATTGAAACAAGCAAATTTCTCCTCTGTTTCTGTTATGGCTATTGCACTCCTTTTGCTGCAAGAGACCTTGTTTCTGTCCCATTCAGTAGAGCAGTGAACTTAGATGCTATGAATGGAGAGAGAATCTCAGTTATTAGAGAGAAGCACAGGATAGTGATGTTTGCTCTGCCTTGTTGATGCGAACAACCACCTCAAATATTTTGCTTTTCCAACTGTCCCATGATTTTTCAGTGTTTTTAAGAAAAGCAGAATGAGAAAAAAAATGTACAACTATGCTCAGAGATACTGCTTTATAAACAAGAAAAATCTTAGGGTACCAAGAAATGCTGCCTTTAAAAAGCTGGGATTTCACCACCTAAATTTTGTAGATTTACACACAAATTCAAGAGTCCTATTGCTGCCTAACAGACTGTGATGATTAACACTGGAGAAAATAGTTAGGAGAACAAAACCTATTTATGAATGCAGAATATAGGGAACTGTTTCATTGATGTCATCTCTGTGAAAAATTGAGTGATGTGTTTACCTTAAAGTCAGCCCCACTGTTCATAAAAATGCATTATGCCATAGATAAGATGAGAACAAGAGACCTTCCTAACAATCACATGCAAGTGTTTTATTCCATGACGGCTAGTTAGTTACTCCCACATGCCCTGCTCAGAGCACCTATCATCCTGTTAGGTTTCACTGAGCTCTGAAATACTCCAGATGCTAAGGCAAGTTATCAGAAAAACTAGACAAGTATCTAATAGTTTCTCTTCAGAAGAGAAGCTGAGGAGGAAACACTGTTAGAAGTTGCTATCCAGTAAAATGTAAAGTGATTCTTTGCATGTCTTCATGCTGAAGTGCTCCCCTATATGTGTATTTATCAGAAAATAAATCAGACTGTGTTCTCAGAAGTTAACACTTATCTACATGGTTCCCTTGTTGCCCTGGAAAAAACATGTTCCATTGTGAAGCAGAATGAAAACCTTACATTTAGCATATTTTCAGTAACATGCTTCTACCATCAGCTTTTCTTCCCTTGTTTTTTATCTAGTAGTAAAGTAGAAAAAGCTTTTGCTCAGTGTATTGCAGACAACATTGCTTGTTTCTTAAAGAGTGTGCCATCATTCTTTATTTGCATGGTATGGCTAGACTTAAGTAGCATTACGGTGATTTAACAGCAGTAGCTAATAGGATACACAGTGCTATAGGTTTGTGCATGTGTGCTGCTTGGTCTTTGAAGAAACAGGCTTAATGAAATTCAGACAGAAGCACTAGAAGAGCTGGGTATGTTCACA